CACCACGCTTTCCGGGCTGTTGGTTCTATGTGAAACACTGCCTGTGGAAATGTTAAATAAGACGCGGCAAGATAAATCGACCACATCTGCGTTCGATTTATCTTCGCCTGATGAAGACGCATACGGTGACATCACAAATGAAGAGTTAGTTTTTCTTTTCCCTAATGCAATGATAAAAGTCAAGAAAATTTTGTAAATAACTGCATAGATGCCGCACAGGCCTTGCTTCAGCGAATAAAGGAGCCGGGTGGTCGCAGGTCGACCTCAATTCCTTCGGTTGAAGATTTTAACACATTATGGGAACTTTCATATGCATTTCAAAAACTTTCCTTTCATTCAGCGGGACCGAGCGAAAGCCAGAACCTTAACAGTACTGCCCATTCTTCTACTCCCGACTACACAGAGTCAGTCCGTTTGCGTTCACCACGGCTTATCAGGGATATTATCCGGTTCATTGACCATCTAGCATCTAATTGTTCTTCTGAAAATTCATTTTCTGCAGGTTAGTCATTTTGTTTTCCCAGAATTTGACGGCTTGCGTCTCATCTGTGGTCAGATTTTTCAGTTTTTTTTTCTCACGCTGTATTTTCCCCTTATTTATGAGTCAGATATAGTGCCCAGAGGAGCAGAAGCTATATTGTTTGTTCTAAAATAATAATATCTTTCTGCTTGCATCTACATTTCCAAAGCGAAGCTGGAAATCAAACATTTCAACATTCATATTTGTTTTTTTGCATTAGCACCAGCACGCAATTCACTGAGTCAACAATAGTTCTTTGTGACGACATTAATCATTACTGATCTGGACGGTTCCATGCTTGTGGTCTACTACATCACAAATATCTGCTTCAACAGAATCCTGAGCGAATTTGAGCCAGTGGGTATGCTGATGCGGTAAACTGCATCATCCCGATCGTCCTAGCCTTTCTGTTATGACTAGCCGGTGTATAATTTAATCGAGTAGAAAACCCTGAAATATTTTATGGTTGGCACAACACACGCACGAAACATATCAGTGGGCGAGTCACAACATGGATCACGATCAGCACGGACGTAATGCATTTGCCTCCCACATGTTCTGCTATCAAGCAGGAAGGAAATCGCTACATTCTGTTTGAATAAAGTCTTCTCATCTGTGTATATTAGGAAAGTGGCACTACCTGCATAGTTTCAAATTTAATAAGTTTTGTGGTAATATAAGATCTTTCGGCTCCCTTACATATGTGACAAAAGGACATTTTAGTTTGGGTACTTACCGATTGAATTACGGGACTAAGTCGTCCATTATATTTTTTTGGGCTCGATCTCAAACTTCATAAGCAGTCCCAGAGTCGCCAGTTGCATATACAGAGAAAACTAATGCTAGAGGGGGCTGGAGTGGATATTTCTGGCTTATTAGCTGTCATCCAGCTTTAAGCAACCTCATGTTTGACAGCAGCTGTCTAGTGTGATCGGTGAGCGCCCTCTGCGAAATTTAATATACCCGATCGCAGCCGATAGAGCAGCGAGCCCCTAGCTCAGTGCTGAGAGCGTTGTACTATTAACAAAACACGAGTTCCAGCCCCAGGTGCTTCCAAATTTGGGGTTGAGTGTGGCTGCTTGATGACGGCTAATAAACGAGCAATAACTGTTCCCGTTTTTCCTGTAGTCGTCGGCAATTTACTGTGGCTATCTGACACTGAGGTAGTACTTGAGCAAAGTGAAGACGAATTAACCAACTTCTTTTATTTGCTCTTGTTTTAGACAATATTTCCCCAAAATCCACGTGTTTTTCAAAATTATCGAAACCAATTCGGACTGGAGCCGATCTAAAATTCGCCTGTCGGATAGCTGACAATTGCCCTCACTTTCTGCTGCCAAGGTTGGCCGTTCAGCTAACTTTCAACCGGAATTCTGCTACTTTGAACAATGGATATTTACCAGTAAAGGAGGTGCACTTGTTGAGTGCCGTTGGGCGATGTGTGCTTTTGCATTTGACATCGTCCGATCTGGCCCTACTGACGC